GCATCGTCTGTTTCCCCTGGGAATTATTGTCCTTACATAGAGAGTTCTCCCCAGAATGTTCATCTGTTTTGACTGTGGTACTTGGTCCCCACTCAAAGTTAGATAGTTTGTTTATATATGTACAGACAAATGCATGTATTTATGTCATGCTTCTCTGTTGTTTCTCTGTGTGCTTGGAAATGGTTTTCTGGTGGAAAATTGGCCAGAGACATGTTTGGAAGGAATGGCAAAGTATGGTACTCTATGGTCAGAGAGATCATGCCTAAATTATACATCATATCTGTACTTACAAAAATGCTTTTTTGTTTTTAATCATCGTATTTCAGTAACGTGATAGTGCTTTGGGGCACACAAATATGCTGCTTATGCAGTTCTGGAGTTCTTTGGTCTAGTATTGTGATGTCAGCTCTTTCAATTGTTGCATCTTAGGAACCGTGGACCAGTTGACAGAAAGTGCTCATTTCATGATGAGGCATATGGTAGCATGGGTGGTGCATTCTTTAGAATCAAATACCCAGATTCAACATAGGACCACAGTGTTCCCTGCAAGGTGGAAATAGGGTCACAATGGTTCCTATGGCAGCTGGGTTCGAATTATTACTGGTTAGAATTTGCCTTAGATTGAAAGTATTAAATGATCAAGAATAAGGCTCAGACAAAATGTCTCATCATTTTTAGTTCATCACCCCTTGGGTGTGATATGTAATGTACAGTGTTTTCTTTACAGGTCAGTAGATTCCATGAATACTTCTATTTTTGGATAACTCAAATTTTCTGCAAATTTTTCCCTCCAAAATAAGTATATCAATCGTTTATTGAAAATGCTACTGGCTAACTCTGGGCAGTAACTTGTAAAATCCATTGAATGCTGAAACAGAGGCAGCAGGAGGCAGAAGTGTCTCAAAGAAATATATTCTCTTAACTCCTTGTCTGTTAGGACTGCCTGTATCAATAGGGAAAAAGACTAAAAAGGATATTCTGTGTTAACAGTGGATAAAGCAAATTGGGTCCCATAATTAGTAACTTGGAATCCCTTCTGCTTCTCAGAAGGACAACAAAGAAAAAGGAAGAGGTATCTGGAACTTTGGAATGAGATCGACTCTAGCTGACCATAATGAGCTGATAGGATATGTGAGAAGAATAGCTCTTTTCTGCCTGTTACTAAGAAGACACTCCAAACCTGGCTTCTAGTTATGAATGCTCTTATCAGTATCTGGTAAAAACTGGTTAAAGCATTATTAAGCAAGAACCTTGGCTCTGCCTGGTGTGATAGCTTAGAATCAATTTCTCATCTTCCCTGATTCTTTGACCAGTCAGTGGGAACAGACTTGGATTTCAACATGATTTGTATCCTTCAGTGAGATGTTTGCTTATAGGTATCCCTAATGTATACAATCAAAATCAGTCTTATGTTATCATTAAACCTGTCCAGTATTTGTGTGGGAATTATGAGGAAATGAGCTGCCCTCAAGGAACCTTTCAGCCAAGGCCAAAGTTTAGAATTACCTTCTACCCTCCCAACTGTCTCACAGGCAATGATTCTATTTCAGTAGCTCCTAGAATGATAACAATGCCAAAAGTATATTGGTGATTCCATATTTACTTTTTTCCATATCTATTTACTGAGTATCTTGTGTAGCATATGCAAAGCACTGTGCTGGTGCAGTTGGGTTCAAAAGGAGTAAGAGCAAAGCTTTGACCTTAAAGCAGAATCAGTTGAAGATATGGCGTGGAACCACCTTTTCGCCCTTAAGGAGGGTCTGGTTGCCAATTAAGTGGGGATATGGTGTTTATTAGCTTTGAGGATCCAGTCTATCTCATCTTAAGTATAGAGCATGTCTCAATCCTGCCTCTTGAAACCATGATGCACTCATTCAAAACACAGTTGTTTTATTGAACACCTATCATTCTTCATTCATGTATTTGTTCATTTAAGAAATATGTACTAGGCGTCTATTATGTGCCAGACCCTGTACTAGTCTCTGGGGATAGAGCAGTGAACAAATTGGAGACTAATCCCTTCGCTATGGAGTTTTCATAACAGTGGGAGAAGACAGATGGTAAAGTGAAAAAGTTAAAATACAGTAAGTTAAATGAAAAAAAACATCTGTGGAGACAAACAAGCAGTGCTGCAAAACACAACAGCACTTTTTGTGGCTATTGTTACCATTTGAGGGTAGTTTAACTTAATTATGTGTATGTATATACACAGATATGCCCATATATATATATATGTATGAATATAATCATATTCATGGTCCTCATAGATTTAAAAATTTTTTTCTATTAGCTTGTCTCTTTTCCCCTCTTTTTGCCTCCCCTATTCCACGGCATCTCTTTACTCCAAATAACCCATGTTAACAACCCATTATATATTCTTGCACATTTTAGCTAGAGAAATGTTAACAATATTGGGCAAACATTTCTTCCCCCTGAATGTTAAGGAGACTATTGCTGGAGCTTCATCCGTAAATATGATCCTTATTTTGTACATGAGATACCCATATTTATAATGTTAAGAATGTATCTTTCTGTTCCTTTTAATTAAATTTTTCAAAAAAATATATTCTAAGTATTATCAAATGTATTTTTAGTGCCTATGGTGATGTTTTATGATATTCCTTTTGAATGTATCAATATGGTGAGTTATACAATCAGATTTTTCTAGTACTGGACTATCTTTGCTCTCCTGGAGTAAATCCCAGGGTGTTGATTGTGGTGTATTAATCTTTTCCCCCCAGCGTTATTGAGATATACTTGATATCATGTAAGTTTAAGGAGTACTATGTGATGACTTGACATATATATACACACATACATCAAAATGAATACCACAATAAGGTTAGTCAACACATACTTCACTTCATATAACTACCATGTTTTTGTTGTTGTTACGGTGAGAACATTTAAGATTTACTTCTCTTAGCAATTTTCAAATGTACAATAGGACATTGTTAACTATATTTACTACACTGTACATTAGACCTCCAGAACTTACTCCTCTTATAACTGGAAGTTTGTACACTTTGACCAACATCTCCTTATTTTCTCTGCTCCCAGTCCCTGGAATTAACCAACTTTTTTCTATTTCTATGAGCTTGGCTAAATTTCCACATATAAGTGTTGTTATACAGTGTTTGTCTTTCTCTCTCTGACTTATTTCTCTTAGTATAATACCTTCAAGAGTCATCCATGTTGTCACTAATGGCAGGATTTCCTTTTGTTTTATGTCTAAATACTATTTCATTGTGTGTGTATATAAAATCACTATATATACACATATATTTACATACATATATAAATACATTATATTTTATATACTTAAATTTTATTTTTAAAATCATATTACACATACATTTATGTAAACATATTAATATATGCATATATAATACATATAAATTTATATATTAACACATATGTTTATATAATACATATAAATATATTAACAAATTACATATACATATGTCATATATATACATATATTCCACATTTCCTTTATCTATTCACTTATCAGTATGGTGCCTCCAGCTTTGTTCTTTCTCAGGATTGCTTTGGCTATTCAGGGTCTTTTGTGGTGTTATACAAATTTTAGAGTTGTTTTTATATTTCTGTGAAAATCACCATTGGATTTTTGATAGAGATTATTGACTCTATAGATTGCTTTGGTGTGAGTAGTGTGGACATTTTAACAATATTAATTCTTCTGGTCCATAAACATGGGATACCCTTCCATTTTGTGTATTCTTTAATTTCTTTTATTTATTTCTTATACTTTTTTGTGTATAGATCGTCTCCTTGATTAAATTTATTCCTAGGTATTTACAAGATTTTTGATGCTATTGTAAAGGGAGTGGTTTCTATACTTCTTTTTCAAGTCATTCATTGTTAGTGTATAGAAATGCTACCGATTTTTGTACGTTGATTTTTGTATCCTGAAACTTTACTGAATCTAAAACATTTTTTGAAGAGTCTTTAGGATTTTCTATATATGTGATCTTGTCAACTGCAGACAATTTCATTCCTCTCTTCTGATTTGGATGTCTTCTATTTCTGTTTCTTAGATAAGTATTTCTGGCTAGGACTTCCAGTACTGTGTTGAATAGGAGTAGTCACCGGGAGCATCCTTCTCTAGTTCCTGATCTCAGAGGAAAAAAACTCTCAGCATTTCACTGTTGATACCATGCTTGTCATGTATCCACTCAGCTACTCTCTGCCTTTTGATTAAAGAGTTTAGTCCATTTACATTCAAAGTAATTATTCATCGATAAGTACTTACTAATTTCATTTTAGTAATTGTTCTCTGTTGGTTTTGTAATTCCTTTGTCCCATTTTTCCTCCCTTGATGTCTTCCTTTCTGATGATTTTCCATACTGGTATGCTTTGAGTCTTCTCTCTTCATCTTGCGTGCACCTACGGTAGGTTTTTGCTTTATGGTTCACTTTACATGAAAAAAGTCTTATAGCGATAAGTGTAATTTAAGTTTGCATACAAAAACTCTATTCTTTTATTCTTCCTTCTCCCCATTTTATGTTTTTGATGTTATCATTCACATCTATTTATATTACATATTCATTAACAAATTATTGTAGCTATAATTATTTTATTACTATATCCTGTAATCTTTATGCTAGAGTTAAGTGACTAACACACCACCATATTACAGTATTAGACTTTTTAAATTGACTATATACTTACCTTTACCAGTGCATTTAATATTTTCACATGTTTTCATGTCACTAATTAGTGTCCTTTCGTTTCAACTTGAAGAACTCCTTTTAGCATTTCTTGTGAGGCAGGTCCAGTGTTGAATTCCCTCAGCTTTTGTTTGCCTGAGAAAATCTTTATCTATCCTTCATTTCTGAAAAACAACTTTTCTGGTAAAGTATTCTTAGTTGGCAGTTATTTTCTTTCAGCACTTTGAATGTATTACTACATGACATCACCTTGGCCTGAAGGGTTTATGTTGAAGGATCTGCCTTATGGGAGTTCCTTTGTAAGTGAAAAATATGGACTGTTTCATGAATTTCCATGTCGTCTTTGTGTGAGGGCCATGCTAATCTTCTCTATGTGTCTCCCATTTTAGTATATGTGTGGCCAAAGTGACACTGTATTAATTTTCTAATGTTCTCTTGGACTCTGTTTGTCAGTATTTTATTTAAGGTTTTATGTTGACATTCATAGATGAAATTTCCTTATAGTTATTTTTCTTGTGCTTTTGATATTAATGTTATGTTAGCTTTATAAATACAAAATGGAAAATGTGTGACTTCTTTTTCTGTGCTCTGGAAGTGGCTTTGGAATTAATTGTCCTTTAAGTAATTGGTAGAAATCTTCTGTGTAACTGTTTAGCCCTGGTGTGAGGGGGTGTGTTGGACGGAGTGTTGCTCTTTGACAGTTAACTTTTCCCATGGAATGAAGTACAGAGTCAGTTTTGGTAATTATTTTTCCCTCGATAATTATCTATTTTAGAGTCAATTTATATGAAGTTTATAAATTAATCCCCTTATGACTCCCTTAATTTCCATTGCATTTGTGGGTTTTCCCCATTACTTATTTTATGCATTTGTAGTTGCTTAACTGGACTAGGTTAGGCAAAATATTTTTTAAGAAAAATTGTTAGATATATTTTCTGTTCTTAATTTGCTAATTTTAACTGTTAATGCTTTCACCTTGTTTTCTTAGTTTTATTATGTTTCTTTGTACCATCCTGAGTTGGATGATTATTTTATTTTTACCCTATGCTGTTTATAAATGTAAATTTAAGGCTATGAATTTTCTTTGAGCGCCTCTTTAGCTAGAACCCATATAGTTTGATATCTATTATTTCATTATAGTTATTTTGAAATACATCATAATTTTAATTTTACCTTCTCTTTAACCAAAGAGTTGTTCAAGAAATAGCAATAAAATGTCAAGATCGTATTTTTTTATTATTATGGTTTGATTTGTAGTTTCATGGTTGATGAGTTTTTATAAATTTATTTTTATCGAGGTATATTTGACTTACCTTATATTAGTTTCAGGTGTACAACATATTAATTTGAGATTTTTATACACTACAAAATAATTATCCCAGTAAGTCTAGTTACCATCTGTCACCATACAAAGTTATTACAATATTACTGACTGTGTTCCCTATGCTGTACATTATATCCCCACGACTTGTTTATTTTATAATTGGAAGTTTGTACCTCTTAATTCCCTTCACCTGTTTTGCCCAGGTCTCCACCCACCTCCCCTCTGGCAGTCACCCATTTGTTCTCTATATCTATGAGCCTATTTCTGCTTTTTTGTTTGTTTGTTTAAAGATTTTGTCTTACTTTGTCTTATTTTCCACATATTTTGTCTTAAGATTCCTTATATGAGTGAAGTCTTACAATATTTGTCTTTCTCAATCTGACTTATTTCACTTAGCATAAATGTTTTAGTACTGTTTCAAAACTTTTGGAATTTTTGAAGGTTTTTAAATTACTAATATATAAGCAAATTTTAGGTGTGTGTAATATTCTGTGAACATTTAAAAATGAGGCCTTTATTTTAAGGTCACATACATTTTTCGCATCTGCATGTGAAGTTTGTTATTGATCATGAACTTTTTAAACTAAACTATAGTCAATTTACAATGTTGAGTTAATTTATGGTGTACAGCATAGTGATCCATTTATACATATATATGTATTATATATGTTCCTTTTCATATTTTTTATTATTTTTATTATTTTTTTTCCTTTTCATATTCCTTTTCATTATAGGCCATTACAAGTTATTGAATATAGTTCCCTGTGCTATACAGTAGGACCTTGTTGATCACGTATTTTTTCTTAATTTTTTTTTATTGAAATATAGTCAGTTTATAATGTATCAATTTCAATCATGTAATTTTTAACCTATATGTTATATCACTGATTTCTCTCAAAGACAGTGAAGTAAATTAAATGCTCCTACTTCTAATGTACTTTTGCCCACTTTTCTTGTACTTCTTGAGTTTTTATTTTATGTATTTTGAGTGTATGTTATTTGGTTAATAAATATTCTGCACTATTTATTAGAGATTATACTTTATCTAATTTTATAGAACTCTTATTTTATTTGTTTATTATTGTTTATCTTGAACTCAAATTTGAATGATATTAACTATAACCCAACCTTGTTTTTTGGTTTACATTTTCTAGATATGTTTTTTTATTTTTAGTCACTCTGAGTTACTTTGTTTTAGATGTCTGTCTTATAGACAGCATAGGACTGGCTTTTGTATTATTTCAAAGCCAAGGCTATATTCTATGCTAAGAAGTATTTAAACCTAACTTCCCTAAGACAGCGCATTGACTGTTAGTGAGTTCTTTTTTTTTTTTCAATTTTGGTTAATTTTTATTTATTCATTTATCTATTTATCTATGTATTTTTATTTTTAATTGAAGTATACTCAGTTTACAATGTGTCAATTTCTGGTGTACAGCATAACGTTTCAGTCATACATATGCATACGTATATTCCTTTTCATATTCTTTTTCATTATAAGTTACTATAAGATAATGAATAAAGCTATTATTCCTTCAGCCCAGAGATACTGTCAGCTGTGCTCAAAGAGTATCTATGCTCCACTTTACTGACACTGTTGTGGGCAAATGGTGAGAGTAGTTTTGAGTTTTCTTTCAGCTCTTGCTTTAGATTGATACCAAGTTGGCTCTTGTGAGGTTTCCACTGCTGACTGGTAAATTTCATTCCTGTTGTATGAAACAAGTAGTCATTAGTTTTGTCCCCTCATAGTGTGTCATCTACTTTGGAGAATTATATTCTGATGCCTTTTTATTCCCCTGAAATCTGCAGCTACAGGTAGAGTTTTTTTACCTGTTTGATCTTCACGGCATTTGCAACCTTTTTTCATACATTGGGAATTACAAATTTGTTCTAGTTTCATTAAAGATGAAATTACAATTCTATTTCTTCTTATTTTTGTTCTAGATAATTTCTCAGAGATGATACAGAATGCTCTTTCTGTCATATTTTAAAACTAACATTTAAACATCATCTTTTGATAATGTTAATCCTACTTAATTCACATTATTGTCCTATGGGTACAAATTTTATTTTCAAAAGATTTTCCTCTTGAACTCATGTATTTCTCTTTTCTTATCAAACATTAAAAAATGGGAAAATGTAAATTTTGCACTTTTTTGGTGAAGTTAAGAGAATAGATTCTCTTGTAATGATTTTTTTTATTCAAGTATAGTTCTTCATTAGATGTATTCCAATCATGATTTCAACTGATAGCAGCAGTTATCTGAGATCTACATATCTGAGAGCTATTTGAAAATTACTATCTCAGACTTCAGAGAGAAAAATAGTGTTTCTATAAAAGGTGTCAATTATTTATAGTATATTTAGACAGAGAGAAGAAAATAATGACAAATGTCCATGTCACAAAGCCCTATTTTAGTAAAACAATAGCTTTGATATTAATGTAATTTTAAGTCATACTACGTGTTATATGTGTAAGAAACATAATAACAAAGGGAGTCCACTGGAAACTAAAGTGGAAATTTAAACAAATTTTTCTTTTTTTTTCAGAGAAGCTAAGAAATAATTTTAGAAACAAGAGCATCATGAGTTGATTACCTCCTTTTGTGGATGAAACTTAATTTATGCCACTTTTGCAAATGTGTTTTATAATGCCATCTAACTAACCCCAGAGAACCCAAATCCAAACACTTTTATAGTTTTTGGCACGCAAAGCAAAATTTTGGTAAAATATAAAGGGGAAAAACTATGGCAGAGGTTCCACAGGTATCGGTTCAACATTCAAGTCACCTTAGAAAATCCAGCCATTTGATTTCAGTTCAGAATTTAGAGATGCTCTAGATTGCTTTTGGAAAATGTTTTTGGATTACAGAAGGGGTGTCTGTACATTGATAACCCAATTCTTGTCTGTTTTAATATTTTAATTTCACTCATTCCTTACTGTACTGAGGATGTAGAGAGAAAATTATCTCATAAATTATATTATTTAAAAACCTAGGCCCGCAAAAGCCCAGCCTAAAGTACATAAACAAAACACCTAGGTGATACTTGGGACCAAATATTTTACTGTACACCTGACTTAAAGTTGGATTTTTCAAAACATGGGAAGTATCACTGAAACCCAAATTGGGGAGCTTGCATAAATGCTAGATTAGATGCTGTAAGTAGCTCTGAAAATCACGGCTGCAAACATGGAAAGCAATCAGTCCACACATAATTACTATGCCACTTGAATTCTAGTAATTTATGGGGAAGGAAAACAAATCTAGTTACTCATCCTCTTCTTGAATGAAATGTGCTCTGCACCACAACTGCAAATTATTATCCCTCATCTAAATCATTGACTTAATGATATTCTGTTTCCCAAATCTCATCCTCATGTCACTGACAATGAACAGGCTTAATCTAATGGTTAAAAAGTATTCTCTGTTATATTGGAGCTGGAGTTTATTTCAGAGCTGTGTGCTGTAAAATAATGTGAAAGAAGGATTTTATGCTTTTATATCTCTGTAAGAGACTATTGAAAAATAAGTATTTCTGTACTTTCTCCTCAAGAGGAATGATGCAAACATATATATTAGTTCCTGTCCAGAGAGCTCAAAATCTATTTCAGAGAGACAAGGTATAAATAGGGCCTGCTGGACAACTACACAGGAGATCAGTAAAAATCCAAAACGATATTATAATCTCCGAGGGAAGATTAAATAAATAAAACCTCTTTTTTTTGGAAAATTTGGGAAATATTCTAAAATTATGTGACTTTTATTATTTTAAGTAGTGAAGCATTCTTAATTGTAGGACAGTTTACTGGCATTCCAGCTTAAATGTTACACGCATACCGCTCCCTTACTTTGTAACCAAGTCGATGACCGTAAATTGCACTTTTCCTTGGTGATTTAAAATTGTGGTTGTAAATGTCAACTGTTATAAAACAGGAAGATGTGTGTTCTTTACATTTAGTATTTCCTGATGACAGCTTTTTAATGGTTGTGTCTTTTTTGGTTGTTGCTGTTTTCCTGCCTTCTGATGTGCTATTTGGACATTTTCTACTTGTTCTTCTTTAGAAAATAAGGTATGATGTGGGGGTG